CAAGTTTCTGTAACTTGGCAAGACTTGGATGACCTAACTGAGCATGAAGAAGAGAGGGAGACTCCATAACTGTACTAACATGTGTAGAGGGACGGAGATAATAAAGACCATGAGACTCACATCCTGTGCCAATCACCTGTTTCGAACTTCGGTCCTGTAAACACACAGAATTGTTGGTAAAAGTAACAACACAATCAAGAGAACGAGTTAGACGACTAATGGACAACAGGTTAAAAGGAGACCCAGGGACATAAAGAACATTATCAATGGTTAAAGAAGGAAAAAGTTTAACCGTTCCAACACCATGAGATGATACTCTAGAGCCATCAGTCAGTGTAACAGAAGGTAAATGATTAGGAGAGGATAAAGAGGAGAACAAAGATTTGTTACCAGTAATATGATCAGTGGCTCCTGAATCAAAAACCCAAGGACCAGGAGAAAATGATTGGGTCAGACCAGCAAAATATGTATTTGTATGTGTGACAGATATAGTGGAACTAGAAGACTGTTGATTCTTATACCATTCGAGAAATTTGTTGAACATAGCAGACATGTCGGATGCAACAGAAGAAGGAAGATCCCCTGCAGATAAAGGTGGGGAAAGATTTGTCTGAACAACTACAGCAGACTAAGGAGGACGACCATGTAATGTATAACACTTGTTAATCTTGTGACCTAGCTTGCCACAATGTTCACACTTAGGACGCCCTTTTTCCTGTTTGCGAGGGCGAGCTCGGTCATCACGATGGGATGTCAACACAAAATAATCGTTAACAAAATTGGAAATAGTGGAAGAAGTCATGAAGAGTGGGAGAACAAACCCTAAAACAATCCAAAGTAATCCAATTAACCCACGAAGCACAAATCCAAAATGAGAATACTAAAAATAAGTTCACCAAGACTAAACGGTGCAGGAGACAATGGGACGACCAACTCCGATAGTGGTGATCTCAATGGCACGGTGGTCACCTGACCGAGACAAGCAAAATCATATGTCACCAGTAAAAAAAAAAATGAAACTCCGGCGAATTCTCCGACAGCGGCGGACCCGGTGACTGCTCCAGCGGCAGCGGTGACAGTAACGTGAACTAGTACACCGGGTAAGTTCCCAGGAAGAGAGGTGGGTCACTAATGGACACACTTAAATACCAAGTCTTTCCTTGCAGAACTTTCCTAAACATGCACTTTCACACTACCAAATAAAATTCAATGACAAAGATAATTCTTTTCTGATGTGGAGGATCAGTTTACCAGCAGCGGTGAGGCGGCTCTAGCAGCGGTGGGGCGGCTCTAGCAGCGGTGGGGCGGCTCCAACAGTGGACAAAAGGCGAAAAAAAAAATTCAAGATAATCTTAAGCTCTAGATAGCATGTTGAATATAGAGAAAATAGAGTTTGGAATGAATTTCCCTTGTGTATAAATCACACATAGGGTGGTCTATTTATAGTAGAGAAATACAACTAAAAGAGTAACTGAAAGTAACAGAATAAACAGAAGATATTGTTTGATATTGTGGTTACCAATATCTAACAATATCTTAACAATATCAAATAATATCTAAACAATATCTAACAAGAACAATGCATTAAAGTGTTTATCGTTAGACAAATGACATATAGAAGGAAGTGAATAGATGCACAAATTATAATAGATGTCAAATTAAAAATTTATTTTAAGATGTCCAAGAATCTCTAGAATCTCACTACGGATGAAAAACACCTCCTTTGTCACCAATACACAAAGAATGAACACCTCCCTAGAATCACACTAGGGATGAACACCTCCTCTGAATAAATTAAAGGATGAATAACACAATTGATTAACTTAAACCTCTTAAACCCATAAAGGATGAAAGAGTAAGATAAGAACAATCATCTACAAATGATGAAGGTAATAAAAATAAGAACAGTCACACCTGAGAAATGGAGACAACAAATTATAGAAGTCTGTAGAATGATAACCTTCAAGAACACAGTGTGATTAACAATGAAAGCGCAGAAGACAGTATAGAAAATGTTTCATAGAAAACCTAAAAGTGCTATGTTGCCTTGCTCAGAATTCTTTTCTCAAAATTGATTGAATGTTAATCGTATTTTCAAATTCTGTAATTGTGTGTTTTTTATTTTCCATCAAAACTTAATTAAATAAAAAAATAACATCAGAAAATGGTCGTTTGACATTAATATTTTCGTGGATAAAAATCAGGATATATTCAAAATATTTATTCTTCAAAACAGATATATTTTTGAATTTCAAACTACCATAATTGATTATCTCCTCAGCATAATCGATTATGTCGGAGTAAAAATCAATTTCCCAATTTTGATGCATCATAATCAATTATGACAGTGAAAAATGTCATGTTCGAAATTTTATCACACTTGTGTTTTGGAGGCTTATGTATAATATTACTTCATCAACTTATACCTCCATATCCAGTATTCTAAGACTCTATCTAGTCTTCAGGAATCATCTTGAGCTTGCTTGAATCTTGAATAAAATCTTTATCAAATCATATATTGGATTTACTTGAGTCTTAAATGTTGTTGACTTATCATTATCAAAATCATCTTTGAGAATATAGAGACATGTTTCACATTGTCATCAATCTCTCCCTCATTGCTTTCATTTATGAATAATATTTTTCTTTATAATTTTTTTTATATTTGTCTTTATAATTTAAATAAATTATTAAAAAATTTATTTTAAATAATGAAAAAAATGTCAGTTTATGATACATTATTTTAGGTCATATTACTTATAAAAAAGATATTTAAGTAAATCATGTTGAATTAAATATTATTTTTTAATTATCTTATTCCTATTTTATCTTAAATGTGCATTCTTTTCTCGGATACGGTTGTATTAGAAGTTTTATTAAAAAATTTAGTAAAGTTTCTCTTCTGTTACTTGAATTTTGATTACAAGTGTAAACAAACTTTTCATTACTCGAAACAAAATTTAACTTCTACATTTTATTCAATCTTCTAAATAGAATTTAACCTTTGAATTTATGTGTAATATTTTTAATTATATGTTGAGAGTTGTAATTGAAAAACTTATATTTTTTATTATTCTTCAAAATTAATTATACTATAATAAAAAATAAATTATTAATTTTTTTTCTTTAGATAAATTCATATCTTATTTATTAGGTTCTCAAAGCATTATTTCTTACTGATCACACTGCCCTTCATATTTATTAAAGAAACTTAGATTAAAAGTCAAGGTGAATTAGATGAATGTTTTTATTATAAAAATTTGGTTTAATTATTCAAAATAGGGGTAGTAGTAGAGATTTAGTTATAGATCATTTAAGTTATATTGAAAAATATTTAGATGATTTTTATTTTATTTCTGATATTTTTTTCTTATGAACATCTTTATTATAATGTTAAAATGTATTGATATGATATCTGATTATGATATGGGTCAATTCGGTTTAAGTTCATTCGGATTATACATTAAATGAGCCCTAAATAGGTGCAAAGAGTAAGTTATAGTAAATTCTCATTTTCTTATGTAGTAATTTAATATTAAATAATGCATATATATATATATATATATATATATATTATTTTTAAATGTTATGAAAAAACTATTCCTGTAATTTTAAAAAATATTATATATTTTAAGATATATAATGTCGATATATTAAATATTTTAAAATTTTACCATTAATATACAAATATATATAAAAAATAGCTTTTAAAGAAAATGTTGATAAAAAAATAGTTAAACCTAAAGAGAAAGTGATATGCGCTGTCATTTTTGCTTCACAACCTAAAATTGTTAACCATATTTGTTTTAGAAATAATCGGAAAAAAAAATCCTGATATTTGTAAACATTTTCAAGTAAGACAAAAAAGGGTGGGGCACGTGGTTTATCGTGATAGGAAACATGATTTACTTTGTTCAACCATGCAACACCCTGTGGCCATATATTATTCACCTTCTATCATTTATATGAAACCTGCTGCATAAAACAATATTTTGTGGTCGATTTTTCATGAATTAAAAACACATGACTGTTATTAGAAAATAATATCCTTATTATACATCATTTTTGCTTATTTTGTATATATATATATATATATATATATATATATATATATATATATAAGCTAAGAGGCTAGCAAACCAGAAAGGCTATATGGGTAGCAGAAAGAGCTGCAGAGAAAACCAGAACCAGATGAGTATTGATACTTCTTACAGCAAGAATTTTTTCCCCTAGCTTTAGCAGTGAGGGTTTAATATAAAATCTCAAAAACTGGAGTTATATTTAGCAGTTTTTCAGAAGTGAAGGGGGGAGAAAGGGGCTGTTTGTTTCACACGAAGCGACAAAAAATTTAAAGGAGTTAAAAGCTAAATCAGGTAATGAAGAGGTGCCTTTGCGTCCTATTTAAACAATGGGTGTTATATTCTCTCCAGTTTTGCAGCCTGTTGTAATCTGCACATTTGCATTTAAAGCTGTCTTTTTATTTAATGACCGATGCAGAGAAATAATGATGATTGTCTCTTCTCTAATGGAGCCCCAATGAGCAAGTGAACAACCCCTTGTCCTTTCAAATTCAAGGAACTGTGGTATATATATTTATGCTTTTTGCTTCACTTTCATTGACAGCTTCTAGCTGTGTATGTGTGTCTCTCTCTCTCTCTGCTGCAACTGCAAGGTTAAGTCAGATAACAATTAATGAGTTATGTAGATTTTCCAGGTGGTGAGGTGAGGTTCATCCATGCCATTAATATGATGATATTGCTTAGTGGCTTTTTGAGGCTGCAATCTGCCAGTATCTTTTGTGTTTGTGGAAAACTGATTTGGGTCAGAGAGATGACGGGATAAGAGTTTTCAGGTGTCCAGAAAAAGCTCTTTTTTCACTTCTATTCCAAAGAGTTATTATATTATTTTACATTTACATCATATACATACTCCATAGTTCCCTTCAATTTTTCTACCTGCTTGGTTTGTTTACCCTTCTCAAACTCTCCTTTTCTTCTAGGATGGAGCCACCTCATATCATGTTGGGAGGTGAAGAGGAATGTCACAGCAATGAATCTGGATGGACCATGTACATTGGGTCCCCCAGAGATGAGGATGTACAATGTGATGATAATGAAGAGAAAGGTTATAGCCTGGATTATGATTATGAAGGCGCACAAGCTGACCCAGATGTCGAAAGTGACGATTCTATGGCTTCTGATGCTTCTTCTGGCCCTAGTCAATATGGAGTGATCAATCCATCGGCTGGTGGTGGCTATGATGGCTTCACACATTTTCAACAGAAGGAGGAAGTGAAGGACAAGTTTCGCTCAGATCACAAGAGAACAACAGCAAGTAAATCAAAGGAAAATCAAGTAGTGGAAAAAAGGGTGAAAGAGAATGAGATGGTTTTCTTCTGTACCAAAGGTAAGGCTCCTGCAGTTCAGAATCATAGCAAAGTCAAGGTGAATAATACTCGTCGACTCTGAAATAATAGATGTATTTCAAGTTTACATGCCCACTAGGTTTTACCTTTTTCTCACAAATTACTATGTTTCCTTTCTAGAGTTCTATGATGTTAAGATTTGACTCAAGAAAACAGCAAGACCACATTAATTTTCTTCAACATGCATGTATCAGCTGGTACTAATTATGCAAATCTGTTCAATTTTCTGCATCATGCATGTTTAGTTTTTATATAATAATAATAATATTATTATTATATAATAAAATTAATTGTTAATATCGTATCTTTATTAATATTTTTTTTCATGTCTACTATACTAGTCTGTATATGAAAAATATGGATACTAGGTTATGAGAGGAGTTCAAACAGTGAGTCAAATTACGATACACTGATTGTGATATTTATTTTGAAAAATTATTGATGGATAATCCTTAAAAGAAAATAACCATTTAAGAACTGTTTTTATTAATATAATAATAATAATACCTTAAAATTTTATATTTATTATTATTATTTTATGATTAAAAATAAATTATAAAATAGATATTTAATAAAGATGAATTATTAACATATTACTAATTTATTTTTAGCCATTTCTCAATTGCATGGAGGTTGACTGAGCACTGAAATTCTGATGGGGTTGATTTAGTCAATAAAGCTTGAAACGGGGAGAAAATATAAAAAAAAAAATCATGAAAACTATTTATAAAAAGAATTGTATTTTTTTTAATATGAACAGATTTTAAATATTGTTTATATCATTACTTTTTACAATAAAAAATGTTTTGAAAAGAATACGAGGACATTAGTAAAATTAATATATATTTAATAATTATAATAATTTTTAATAATAAAATGAAAGTTCTATCTTTTTTATACAATTTTTATTGTATTTTTTTTCATGAAGACATTTAATGTGCATTCACCCTATTGCTACATCATCAACAATTTTGAATTCTTATTTAGTAGTTGAGCAGAAAAAAAGGTTTCGTATTTATCTGTTATATAAGTAAAATTTTGTTCAAAAAATATATAAATTATAAAAATTGATGATTCATTTTGTCGCTATACATATAAATTATATTAAATCTTAAACATAGTATACTTGAGGAAAGGGTTCAACAATGTAAAAGAAATGATAATTTAAAACCTTTTATTAAAAAAACATATATAGTGCAAAAATGAAAATGGCAACCAAGTTAATCCTCAACTCATTTATTAAACTATTAAACTATGTTGCCAACACTTTTATGTTTACTTTTTAAGAGTAAGTGTTTGATGGGATAGTCAATTTGTAACCCGATCATAATCCAGACACAATCCTCAATTAAAAACTTAATTTATCATTATTTTTTATCAGTAATAAAATAAAACCTGTTTACTTAAATCTTATCATATATATTTTTTAAATTTTGTATTTATATCTTTATTAACTTTTTCACTCGGTATGATAAAAAATTTCTAACTCATTTAAATTTTAATCATCTACTCGGATTTTTTTATGAATATAATTTTTCTTGAATAGAAATATCTTTTAATCCCAAAGATATTAGTAGTGATTATTCTGATACAAGATTCATAAATTAGATTACATGATTTATTCATATCGTATTTTATTGAATTAATTATCAAATAAATCATCAACTATAATTCTATTATTAAGTATTAAATAACAAAGAATTATTATCTTACAATAAAAATATATCACTTAAAAAGTAAATAAAAATATATATAAATTTTAATATCTATCTTTTATAATATATTTAAAAAGTAAATAAAAATATATATAAATTTTAATATCGATCTTTTATAATATATTCATAAGTTTTAGTTTAGAAGTTAATATTAAAATTAGTTTATATATATATATATATTCATAAGAGGATAAAATTATGATGAACGAGAATCTGAAATAAATAATATATCATGAACCTACAAGAAAACTTAAATTTTTTTTATGATGAACAATATCCGAAATTTGATTATAAAAATATTATCTTGAAACACTTTTTTCCAAGTGATGAGAATACCTATATTTACAAATACTAAATATAACATTTTCTAAATATAATATATTTTATTACTTAAGATGAATTTTTTTCAAAGACAAAAATATATATTGTCTTCGTATGCAACGTACACATTTATATAAAGGAAAAATTATAAACTCTTTAAAATTCAATTTTAATTTTGATAAGAAAAAAATGGTTAACCTTCTTTTAAGACAATTTTTACTCGTAGAAAATTGCAAACCTTCAAATTACATACAACTACCTAATCTCAAATGCACCCAAACAACTTATTAAGTTATAATTAATGGAAAATATTCAAGTGAGACTCTTTATATCTAAACTAGTTTTCCAAAATATTTTAACTATTTTTTAATACTGATTTATAATATTTAAAATAATTTAAACTTGTTAGCATGGAATTAAACATTAAGACACTTATGCTTTAGATGTCGGTGGAGGGGATTGTTGGAATTAAGGAGTATCAAACAAAAAGAACTCCTCAGATGAAGACAAGCAATCCAAATATTTAGTACGTGTCACTAATAAATGAATACAATGATGTTTTACATTACATTCATTATTTGACAAGTTTTGAATCACGATCCACAACGAGCCAAAAACTGCTTCAAGTTCCTCCTACAGAGAACTACTTAACAGATATGACATTCTTTAACCTTTCTCTGATAATTGCCCTAAAAATGTTCATATCCCTTTTCAAAGATTGAAGTCTTTCTACCTTTTTCTGAAGAAAGATCCAATCTTTGATTAACTCTCACTATCTCTTTCTGAAATTACCAAATGGCTCCAAAGAAGCATGCCTACACCTCAACTCCAGTTATCAAAACCATCTCTCTTGTATACTAGGACAAAAAAATTTGTTTGTATGATTCTAAATTAAAATTAACATTTAGTAAGTTAATATCTTATTATAATATTTTCATATATGAAGCTGTTGAGATCAAATAAATGATTTAAAATTAATAATAATAGATTAAAATATTTTTATATTTTTTAATTCTTTATTAATTATTAGATATTATTGAATTATAATCTTTTTTTTTTAATTTTATCTTTATTTTGTTTTGTTTTTACAATGATAATTTAAAGTAAGGGTGAAAAGTGACTCGTTTGATTATTTCATTAAATTTAATTCCTAATTATATATATTTTTTAAATGAATTTGAGAGTTGGAGTTTATATTTAATTATTTCAGTTGATTTGCACGTTATCATTATGTGAGTTTTGAGTCTATTTTTTTATTGTGTAATTCACTTTTGAATTTAATATACTAGAATTTAACTTACTTTTTTTTTATTTAAGTTTTCTCATATGTAGTTTTTGAAATTATTTAAGCATTTATTCTTTTGAGATAAAACCAAATTAGCTTATTTTATATATTATTCACTTTGCTTAGTCATTTCAGCCTAATATTCTTATTAATTCTTTGTTAATTATGAACCACATTACAAGCTAAAATAAAAAATAATATTTTTACCTTGATTTTGATAATTTGAAAAGCTTTAAAATTATTTTAGAAATGATTTGGAATAATTGCAAGATGCAAGAAATTGAATTATAGAAGGTGGATGATATTTTGTTACATTTTCGCTCGGTATCGTCAGATTTCGTTGAGTCATTATGAAAAATTGATTTATTGAAAAAAAAAATTGAAAATATTATTTCACCCGACACCATTAGCAAACTATTATGACAAATTCAAGAAAATACGCAAGAAAAAGAAAAGAAGATAAAAATGATATATATTTAGAGAAATATTCATTTATGTTTTATTTAAAAGATTATTTTTTATCTTTTTTTTAGTTCTTTTAAGTCTTAAAATCCTTTATTTATATCATGTATTGACTTTAAACCTCATTACCACTTATTTTAAAATCCTTTTAATATTGAATTTACATATATTTAATTAAAAGTTTGTCAATCTTATGATTAATTTTATTTTTAAGATGTGATTTGAGAGAAACACATTGAATGTAATATATATCATATTCTCTATAAACAGTGTGAAAGTGTTTAATACTCAATTCTCACAATTAAAGAAAGAAATAATTCTAAGTTTTAATAAAAATAATAAATCTAATTAATGCATCTAATGAAAACAGTAAATTGAAATAGTAAAATAAAGTAATGCAACTATTAGAAATAATATATTAAAACAACAATTATGTAATAAAGTTTATTCAAATATTTAGATCAAATTGATTTATTGTATTTAGTTTACTTAAAATCACGATTAAATTTTATGAGAAGTAATTACATAAATTTAAACATTTGTGAAGCAGAGATTCAAATGATCAATCTCACAGAATAATTAATTATAGATGGTTAGATTCACATCTAAACCATAAAAAAAATAAGTTTTTTAATTGAAAATCAACCTTAGAGAATTAGAAACTTATAATAAAAAAATTGAAACCATAGAAAAATAGAAAGATAGTTGAAAAAAACAAGTAAAATACAGAAAAATAATAGTAAATGAGACGTAATCTAAATTATCTTTTTTATATTTGTAAAATATCATATTCTTTTTTTTTAGCAAATTTAGTCGTATTATGAGGTCTTAAAACTTGGTCGAAGGTTTTAATTTTGATTGAATCTTTTGACCAAACCAAAAATCTCGATACAGTAGCTGTTAAAAATTATCATCATTCACAGATCAAATCTCGATATTTATAACAAATAATATATTACGCTCGATTTGGCAAAATTGACAAAATTGCATGATTTTGAAAATTAAGGGATAATTATAGGCAAAAAAAAAAAGAGACAAAATTGAAATAAATAAATAGGGAAACTCAATGTAATTTAGTTAATACAAATTTTATGAGTTTTAATAAAATGTAATAATAAAAACGTTGTATAAAATAAGTCAATCATTGAAGGAGGGTAAAGGAAAAATAAAAAATAAAAAAAATAGAGGAATCACAATCGGTTTCATCCAAGGGCTGATAGCTACTGAAGCTAATCTGGTACTCTTAAACCCATTTCACTAGGGTTTAGGCAATCACTGCATTCCACTTACGTACCCGCAGACAAGAAAGGCATGTACTACTTTAATGTGTGCCATAACAACTCAATGCGAATGAAAACCACAGTAAAATGAGAATGAGAATGTTTGGGCTCTTTGTTTTTTCGAAATTGTTTGAAACAAATAAATCTCATTTACCAATTTATTTATTTTTGGGTTGTGACCAAGCAAAAGTTTGAATGATTTTGAAGATTTGTATGTTAGTTAGTTCATCACTATTAGCGTTTAAGCTGCAGAATAATTGTGCAAATTTTATCTGTATGCTGTGTTTTGAATCTGCTGAATATAGCTTTAGTGTTTATGGTTTTGCTCAGGTTGCTGGAATGGCTTTCCTTGGTAGAGTTGGGAATATACTGAAACAAACAACGAATAGGAAGGTGAGTTCAGAGTTATGTTCTTTCCCATCTGTTTTTCAGGCTACACGACGGCGAATGTCAAATGCTCCAACTTCAAGGCTATATATAGGAGGTGCATTTGAACTAGCTTTTGCTCTGTTTTTCATTCATGAAGTACTTTATGTATATATTTGTTTGTTTATTTATTTGAGTATCTAATGATTGAGAATATATGTCTACATTTATCTGTTGCAGGTGTTTCATATTCCATGGATGAGCAAAGTTTGAGGGAAATTTGTTCAAAATATGGCCAAGTTATTGATGGTAAATAGTCAGAATCTCTGCTCTCTTATGTGTTCTACCTTTTGCTTTTTCTCTTTCTTATGGGGGTTTTACCAATGAAATCCTGTTGAAGTCATTTTTATGTTAATTCAACTCAGTATTAATTGTTGTTTATTTTTGTAGCGAGGTTAGTTATGGATCGTGAAACTGGTAGGCCCAGAGGATTTGGTTTTATCACTTACAGTACAGTTGAGGAGGCATCAAGTGCCATTCAGGGCTTGGATGGACAGGTAAAACAGATTGGACTGTGCAGAATTGGCACATATACATAAATGTGTGCTGATGCTACATAAGCTATTGAATCCGTGGAAGTTTGTGTCTGTACTTTGGTATAAATTTTATATACTTCCTTGACAGTCATCGAGTGCTTTGCGTTTGAATTTGTTGAGAATTTCAAATATTGATTGTTGGTCCCATGTACATGGAAATGTGGTGGTGGCATTTAAACATATGTAGGTTTTGGATTATGTTAGATATCGGGTTATCACTTATTCATGTAACTGTCGCAGTGGCTATCACTATTAATATCGGTCACAATTACAACAACCACAACAACCAAGCCTTTTCCCATTAGGTGGGGTTGGCTTCGTTACCCAAATAAAAAATGTGTATGGACAAATTATCAATCAAGGTTGAGTGTTATTGAATAGTTAATCATTGCAAAACTCATACAAAGAGAATCCTGGCGGTTACCTGCTATTGATGTTTCCTCAGTTTTTAGGCATATCCTTTTAAAGGAAATGAATGTGGTCTCCAGTTAAATTTGTCATTGCCAGGAACTTATATTAGATCTATCTATGTCTACCTCTTGTATTTCACAAGTAAATTTTCAGTAACTTATCTGCTCTGTTAGCTAGTTTTAAACTTTTCGTGTCATCTTAGTATCTTATAATTCATACTTTTCAATCATTCATTGTTAATTTAATTTTGTAAATATAATTTTTAATTGTATAACTGTTACCTTTCTTCTTGTTTTTTTATTTATTTCTGAGTGTAAGTGTGTCATTTTTTTATTATCGTGACTTACTGTATTTTATTTACTAAATTTTCAGTAAATTATCTATGTTGGAAGCTACTTTATAACTTTGCAACTGATGCTTAATATCTTGCGGTTTGAAACTTATCAATCATTCATTGACAGTTCATGTTAATTGTTTTTGCCATATAGTGATGAACTACACTACCATTACCTTTCTACTCTACTTAATTCTGATTATAAGGTTTTTCTAAGGATCTGCAAGGTCGCCGGGTTAAGGTAAATTTTGCTGATGAAAGACCTCGTGGTGGATTTGGTGCTGGCGCTGGATATCAAGGTAGTTATGGCAACTCTCCTTATGGTGCTTCTGCAAGTGATGGTGGGTATGGGGATGCTGGTGGTGGCAATGCTACTGAAGGTTGGAGTGGTGGATATGGTGATGGCTCCAGAACAGGTGGCAGTTTTGGGGGCAGCAACTTTGGCTGTAACTATGATGATACTGGTGCCTATGGTGGCAATGCTGCTGGGGGTTATGGCACTGGAGGATCAATTGGTATCGCTGGTGCCTATGGTGGCAATGATGCTGGGGGTTATGGCACTGGAGGATCAATTGGTGTCGCCGGTGCCTATGGTAGCAATGCTGCTAGAGGTTATGGAAGTGGTGGGTATGTTGGAGAATCAGGTGACAGTTTTGGGGGAAGCAGCTCTGGCAAGAACTATAATGATGCCGGTGCCTGTGGTGGTAATGCTAGTGGCGGCAATGGCAGTGGTGGATATGGTGGTAGTAGCAATGCTGCTGGAGGTTATGGCAGCAGTCCATATGGTAGTGGATCAGTCAGAAGTCCCGGGAATAGCAACTCTGGCAAGAATTATGGTGCTGCTGGAGGTTACGGCAGCGGTGGACATGGTGGAGGATCAGGTGGTAGTTTTGGGGGAAGCAGCTCTGGCAATAACTATGTTGCTGCTGTTGGATACAAAGGAAGTGGAACAAGTTTTGGGAATGCTGGTAGCTTTGCAAGCGGTGACACTTACAATGATGGAACAGGTAGAAATTATGGTGTTGCTGTGAGTGGTGAAGGTAAAACTGGTAACTATGGTAATACTCCAGGTAGTGGTTATGGAAGCTTTGCTGCTGTGGGATATGGGAAGAATAATTCTTATGACAGTTCTGCAGGATTTGGCAAAAATAATACACATGACAGTTCAGCAGGATTTGGTGGCAACTATGCTGCTGCTGCAGGTATTGGCAAGAATAATACATATGACAGTTCTGCAGGATTTGGTGGCAGCAGTAGCCATGGTAGTACTGCTGTTGGTGGCAGGCCGAGTACTGCTGGATATGATGGTGGATCAGTCAGCAGTCCTGGGGACACCAAGTCTGGCAAGAACTATGGCGATGCTGGTGTCTATGGTGGCAATGCTGCTGGAGGTTACAGCAGTAGTGGATATGGTGGAGGATCAGGTGGTAGTTTTAGGGTTAGAAGCTCTGGCAATAACTATGGTGCTGGTGGTGGTTACAGTGGAAGTGGAACTAGTGTTGGAAATGCTGGTAGCTTTGCAAGCAGTAACACTTACAATGACGGACCAGGTGGAGGTTATGGTGGTAAAAGTGGGAATTATGGTGTTAGTGTGAGTAAAGGTAATACCGGTAACTGTGGTAATGCTCCTGGTACTGGTTATGGCAGCTTTGCTGCTTCAGGAGCATTTGGCAAGAATAATACTTATGACAGTTCTGCAGGATTTGGGAAGAATAATACACATGACAGTTTTGCAGGATTTGGCGTCAGCAGTAGCTATGGTAGTACTGCTGGCGGTGGCAGTCAGAGTTTTGCCCGTAATCAGCACCCTGGAAGTGCCACAGCGTATGGCAGTGGTGGTGATCAGAGTTTTGCCAGTAGTCAACACCCTGGAAGCGCTACGGCGGATGGCAATGGTAGAACAAGTACTGGCAGTGCCATTGCTGGTGGACATTATGGCAGCAGTGGCCAATTTGGCAGCAATAAATGCAGAAATTTGGGTCAACATGGTGGAGATTTTGGAGGCTCATTTCGAGAAAATTCCAAGAGTGATGATTATGAAAACGATGCCTTTGATAGACGGGCTTGAAGGAATCTCTAGAGTTCTTATGTTTTTCCTGCTATCTCGCGCTTTTGCCTTACAAGCATGTATCAATCAACAAATACAAAGCTTAAAAGAAAGAAACGTGAGGTCTGTGGCGCTTTATTCTCTCCTGTAACAGGAGTCCTGTTGCAACAAATTAAAAAACTAAAGTTCGTTGCTTTCTTCTAGGTTCAGGTTGTTGTTTGAATATATCGAGATCTTTATTCAGCATGTAAGTAAATGTTGATTATGGCGAACTATTCCATTGGTGGATTTGTTGGAGTTGTGATAAGTTTTTTCAATTGGACTCTAGACAATGTTGAAAACGAAAGAGAGAATGATTTACAATGATTATTGGATATTCAAATCAATAATTATCTAATGATTAAGATGATAATTAGAACCGAAACACAATATCTATATGATAACCCTGTATTTTCGAATATATCATTTTTAATGTTTCAAAAATATTTATATATCTTGGCATAATATATTAACATTATCATTTTATCGAGTTATTATGTTTTAACTAGTTAGGTATATAAGTTCTCCAAAAGTTAAATTTATGATATAATATGTTAAGTGTACATAAGACTATGAATGAATTAAAATTGACACATTTTTTTTAATCGTGCTCATAATTCATTATTACTTATATTTGTTTGTTGTTATTTTTATCTTCTGACATGTCATATTAATGAGGCGAATGATGCATTGATTATGTGGGAATCTAACATTCATTACTATATCCTTGTCCTATCTTATAAAAAATGATTATCAATTATGTCTCCTAGAATTCAAAACGTCTCACGTTGTCATTTTACTCTCACATGTTGTCCTTACCTTCATCTCGTTCATTTTGTCCCTTCTTTCCTTAATCAACTTAGCTTGCTTCAGTGCACTGGTTATTTCTTTTTGAGATACTAATTTATTCCTCTTATGTTGCTTCTTTAAAAAATGTCTTCGTCTTCTATTCCTACTAATTCTCGTAATGTCAACCCCTAGGTTGCAAAGAGGTTCACTCAATCAAAGATGATTCCTGTAGTGATGAGAGTACCAAATTTGTTGAGAGTAATTTTGAAGATATTGAAGTACTTTGTGTTCAGACCCGTTTAGTAGTTATACATGGTTTTACCTCCACTATTCATGTTTCAGCCTCTCAAAAACACAAGGTTACTTTCCAAAAGTCCAAAAGCCTAAAAGCCCAAAACCTCAAATAAGATTAAACAGAAAAACAAATTTCCCTCTTAAAAGAGATCCATTAATACTCTTGACAACTATTACATTACAGTAAATTATGTGGCACATAGGATTGTTCCATCTCAGCAGAAAAATACTTGAAGAAACAACAGTTGCTTCAAATAAAATACGATTATTTTCATTTTCTTCAGCACAAATGTAGGAATGGGAATCATGAATCATTCATCATCAAAATCAATTTCAACACAAATGTAGGAATGAGAATCATGAATCATTCATCATCAAAATCAATTTCAACAATGTACAATTTTAGAATCAATATGAAACCATGAATCATTCATCATCAGAATCAATTTCAAAATCAATTTCAACAACATGAACAATTTCAGAATCATAATGAACAATTTCAAAATCAAATTCAAAATTATACTCACCAATTTCAGAATCAGAATCATAGCGTGAAAATTTTCAGAATCAATTTCAAAATTATACTCACCAATTTCACAAAATGCAAGAACAATGTGAACAATTTCAACCAAATGAAGGCACACCCAAATACGAAAAACGGGTACTGGTTGAAGAAGTTATCAATAGAAACTAGAACATATTCGATATTGATTTTGTCACCGTTGGCATCCACGTCCGTCGCCACATCAACGAGGCATGGAAATGGAGTGAAGAGGTTGAAGGCGGTGAATGAGAAGAAGGGTTTTGCTAAAGCGTTGGGAGAACGCGTTCGGATTGCGGAGAGTGAGAGTGTACGAAGTTGAGAAGGTTGAATTATGCAGTGTGGTGGGTTGTGGTTTGAGAAGTGAGAGAAGGGTTTGAAGACGGTGGGTCTATGGGGTTTTAGGGAGAGTGGATAAGGAGAGAGAAGAAGAGAGATGAAATCCATGGGAGGGAGATTTTGCATAGACACATGATCAAGTAAGGCTTTTTGAAAAAGGATAGGGGAAGAGGTTAATATAAAAAAATTATTTGTGTAGCAGAATTGAAATAAATGTGAGATTGAAAAAAGAAATTGACCGTTGGGAGGAATTGAGGTGAGATTGAAAAAAGATTGACTGTTGGGAGGAATTGTGTAGCCGTTATAACTTTTTTTTTATTACTATTTTTACACTATAAAATCTCTATCAATGGTAAACAAATTTCACATTTCCTTTATTTTCTCATTTTTCTTCTTCTCCAATTATTGATCCCAATCAATTTAATTATCAGTATTATTATAATTTATTGCAAAATCATTCATCTATTACTGGTGAAAATTCTCAAAATTATATTTATGCACCACCATTTTTTATGTTTCCACCACCTCCAATAACATCAAATATGAGTAACACTCTTCCTTTATACAATATAGAACCTCCTTCTCCGATCGAACTCGATAATATCCAACTTGATGGAAGTGGTGAAAATATGTCTCAGAGGAAGCCTCGTGTACCATTCTCAATACCAGAAGATTTGATTCTTATTCGATCATTGTTGAATGTGTTGAAGGATTCAATTATTGGAGTTGATTAGTCATTAACCCAATATTGGGAGTGGATCAAAGAATCATACAATAATAATGACGAACATAGCATTTTCTACTTTAGGCGCATACTCATCGTTTTCTAACCCAGAGACACCGCACGAAGTTGAAGAATTTAACATAGCATCACCAATATCTCATTCCATAGGACAAAAGACAGCTAAAAGAAAGAGCCAAGGAAAAGGCAGTGCAAGTGATACTCCTCATATTGATTTTATCTGGCATAGAAAATGCAATAAAGGAAAAACATACAAAGTTTGATGAATTAATTGAGTTAAAGAAGTCATAAGAAATGTATTTTGAGTATGAAATCCTCATGAAGGACACGACTAACATGTCTGACAAGCAATGCAAAGATCACGAAAAATATTGTAACTATATTAGACAAAAACGATTTTAAATATATTAGTCATTATGATTATTAATTGTATTTGTTTGAAAAATGTATTAGTTGTGCACAAATGAAAACTAGCCATTGTAAAACTAGCCATTATAAATTTAGCCGCTATGAATCTATATATAGTTTTGGAATATCATGTAATGTCTCACAAATTACAATATTATTCTCAATTTTCAAACACTTCAATTATCCATACAATGAAATTTGAAAACATTGATTTAAATGCATTATTGGATCAAGTCATAGATGGAGAACTCGAAGATAACTATGATGAAGAAATCATGAGGTTATTACTTGAGTACCGATAACAAGTCAACAACAATGGTGGTGACATACAAAGAAGAAAAGTAGTTCATCGAAATCGTGAAGAAGGTCACCATCAATTGTTCAATGACTATTTTGCTGAAAATCCAGTATATATAGAACCTCAATTTCAAAGAAGGTTCCATATGCAAAGGGAGGATTTTGTCAAAATTGTGAAAGCTCTTGACAATCACGATGATTTCTTTACACTAAGATTAGATGCAACATGAAGAAAAGGTCTATCATCTTTGCAAAAGTGCACTGCTGCTATTCACATATTGGCTTATGACTCACCTGCTGATAGTGTGGATGAATATATTCGCATTGGTGAAAGCACTACAGCAGAATGCTTACAACAATTTGTATCAGGTATTTATGCAGTATTTGGAAATGAGTATTTAAGGAGGCCTAACAATGAAGACATTAATCGATTACTACAAATGGGAATCACACGTGGTTTTCCAAGTATGTTAGGATCAATTGATTGCATACATTGAGAATGGAAAAATTGTCCAGTTGCATGGAAAGGTCAATTTTGTCGAGGTGATCATGCTAACCCGACAATCATTCTCTAAGTTGTAGCATCACAAGACTTATGAATTTGACATGCATTTTTTGATATTGTAGGGTCAAATAATGATATTACTATGTTAAATGCATTTAATATGTTTAATGAAGTTATGTCAGGTTTTACACCTGCGATACACTACGCTGTGATGATATGGGATATTACTTATCAGATGATATTTATCCATATTTTGCCACATTTGTGAAAACTATTTCAATGCCACAAGGACAAAAGAGAAAATTATTTGCTCAACGACAAGAGTCAGCAAGAAAGGATGTTAAACGTGCATTTGGAGTACTTCAATCTCGATTTGCAATTATACGTGGCCCGATACGTTTCTGGGATGCTCATACATTGAAGAACATAATTTATGCATGTATCATATTACACAATATGATTGTTGAGGACGAACAACACACTTATCAAAATCATATTGATTATGATATTACGAAAAATGAGATGTCAACCATTGATATATCTTCAAGTCCTCATCCTAGTTTTAGATCTACATACTTTCAAAGGAGAACAGTGGTTCAAGATAGAAATACTCACCACCAACTTCAAATAGATTTGGTAGAACATATTTGATAAAAGTTTGGAAGAGAAAATAAGGAAATTTAATTTTATGTATTATATTTTTTAGTATTGTTTGATTTTTATTATATTTATTTAAATATTATGTATTTTTATATTAAAATAAGGTATTATATTATTAATTAAAGTAATTAATTATTTAATGTATATATTTATTTTTATATAATATATTAAAATAATATAAAAAATATATAAAATAATGAATTGTTAAGAGTTGCTTGAAATTTTTATCATTGAAGTAAAATTAAATGAGAGTTGCTTAACCATGATATGACAATGTGAGACCTATGTTTCACTACTTTCTAGAGTAAAACAACTCTTTTAAAATTTATGCATTGGAGATACTTTAAGTTTACTTAAAGACTTTTGTCGAGGACTTTGTCATCTTCGATTCATCGATCTAGGCTTCTCACTAGTTGAATCATGTTTAGTCAAGGATTATATATATATACACGAAATCAAACTTAATCATGAAGATTTCACTTTTATACATGAATATCTATTTACATATTTAGATATTTTATTATTTTAATTTTCTTAATTTAAGTGTTATATGATGTTCATTCTTAAAATCATCTAACTAATTGGACTTTTTTGAAAGTTTTTTAAAATTTATGTTTTTTTTACAACTCAAACTTCAATGAATCTTTTATGTATTTTTACTTTTGATAAATTCTTTTATAAATTTTTATCAACTGGGACTAGTTAAATTTCCTCAATATATTTTAATATGGTGGATTGTTTTTAATTTATATTTAACTAAGTCTCAATAAATTTTATTTATTTTTATCCATTAAAATATAATGTTGATATTGATTGAATTTTCTTTGATTGTTTTTTTGTTTATACTTATTTATTCAAAAACCTTAAAATTATGGTTAGGTGAGATATTAAAAAGATGATCCTCTCACATATCTCTTTTACTATTGAGACAACTCTCCTTATTTCACTCTCTGTTGATTTATCTCAGTTATATTTGAATTTTGGGATGAGTAGTTAGTTACTAACGATTGACAATAGATAACAATAGTGATGCTTTAAAACTTAACTCATCCTATTAACTATAAAGACTTACTTTCTATTTCATATGCCAAAGATTAAATGTCTAGGTTTAACCATAAGAATATATAAGTTTTAATTTTATCTTATGTTGTTATTTGTTGTGTAACTTATTTTATTTATATGTCTTTTTCATAGATTAAGGAGAGCTTTTTCAACTACAAGAAAATGCAGGTAAATTAAGGATAACCGTTGACAAATATTGGGTCATGTATATATATGATACATAATTTAAATGTGTTACGACCATTATTTATTAAGCAAAATAATAAAGTGATTTGACTAAATTAAAAAGTTTGGCTAAAGGCATATGTGATGAAAATAAAATTGTGTAAAAACCATAGAGCAATTTCTAATTTGATGAGGGGTCAAATTGGAAATATTAAAACTTAAGTAATTAACCTAATTCTGGTTATTGAAAGGGTCATGGTCCCCCTCTGGGAGCACACACAGAATGTAAGTCTTAGTTCCCGTTCCTTTCTTTCTATCCCCATCAAGAGAGAAAATCCAGAGGGAAAATACAGGTGCTCTTCAGGTGGAAGACCATAAGATCAATAATGCTCTACAAGGATATCATCATTATAGCTAATTCAGATACGCTTTCGCATTCAGTTTATAACATATTTATGAGTATGAGATAATGTTTATGTTTGATAGTTAGAATCAAAATCAGGATTATAATAATTAATTTTCCAACAATTGGTATCAGAGCTACCCATACTTGATTCATGTCTGTTTTATTTATAGAACCCTAGTTATGAAAATTAGGATTAATTTTGTTTAAACAATTCAAATTACCAATTTTTATGAACTCTAAGTGGAGAATAATCTCCAATTTTCGTGAACCCTAAAATTTAAATTTGGGGTAACATCCCCAATCTACTTTTGCTCGCTGATGGAACCGTGGACGAATCTATGAATTCTTCTTCTTCATTTTTCCCTTTTGTTTCGCTTTAAGTTTCAAGTTTTACTGAGAAAAAAATAGTATTTCAAGTTTCAATCTTTCTTGTATTGGGTTCTCTGTTCTCTTTGAATATTTTGTTTTTGTTTTTATTTATTTATTTTTTCTGGATTTTGTTTTCGTTTTTTTTTCATGGTGGATATGGATGAGTTTGGAATTGGGGGTGATGTTTGGGGAGTTCCCAACACAAAGGATCTTAGAAAACTAGTGAATGTTTCCTCTGGTATGGTTGTTCTTATTTTATTGCCTTTATGCTCTGGAGATTTAAGGGAAGTTGATGTTAAATTCCCTGTTTAGGGTTTGAGAGATTACTGTTAAATCCCCTTTTAGGTTTTAGGTGATTGCACTGTTTCTTGAGCAGTGTGTTAAAGAGGGTCAGAACTATCTATGTTTCATCCCTAGTGGGATTCTAGGGAGGTGTTCATCCTTAGTGGGATTCTAAGGAGGTGATTGTCTTTTGAATTATGTTGGTTGTTATCCTTAGTTCACACACAATAGCCTTTTAAGCTTCAGGT